ATTACCAAAAAAACAAATTGGTGATTTAAAAAATCAGATAAGAAACAAACAAATAATTCAGATTAAGTGAAAAGTGAAAGTTGAGAATAATGAAAAGAGGAAAGGTCGAAACAGAACAAACTGGAAACTATCGCTTCAATAAAGCCCAACTGTAACAGAACAAGAAGCAAACTGAAAAACTGAAAACTGGGCAAATAAACATACAAATAAAATGACTCAAAAGGAAAAAGTGCACACAAAACAATTAACAGAACTCATCTAATTGCAATAAAAAGACGCACAAAGAAAAAACCCCAAAGACAATTAACATTATAATTCACTAAATTACAAGACACAAATAACGTCACAAGTTTTGTTCCAGATTGTCCGAATTGCGGAAACCAAAGACGGTTTCCTGGATCTGACCCAACTGGAATACCAGTTGAAATTGCACCAAAACTGCGATCGTCAACTGATTGGCTCCTTCTCACTGGCCTCCAGTGTTACTGGTATTCTTTACGATGACGTGGCATGCACCATTCTGCTTCATCAATATGGGGCCTTGTCTTTTTGGGACTACAATATCGGAGCCCCCAATGTCTACATCGACATGAATCCGAGCGTTCAAGGAGTTGCAGACAACAATCTGGCCAACAAAGACGCCATCTACTTCTCTGGACACAAATTTGTCGGTGGTGTTCAAACTCCTGGTAAGACGGGGATTTACTGGGGTTTTCTCGCTTTCTGAACTGCAACTTTTAGGCATTTTGATTGCAAAGAAGCAGATTTTCCGACGGGTGAACGCCTGCGAGCCGGACGGGTTCTTCGCCTCCAACGAGAGGGAAAAGGTCAGTTATTTTCGATTCGCTTTGAGCAATTTTCCTGATTTCAGTGTGGATTTTAGGGCTTCGAGCTTCAGGAGGAGGGAAACTGTGCGGCCGTCGTGGAATCCATCCGGTTTGGCTTGATAATGCAACTGAAGGAAACGGTGTCGGCCACCAATATCCAACAGCGACAGGAAAAAATTAATAAGTGAGTCCCAAGTTACTATACCAAGAGGGATTGGCCAAAATCCTAATCAGTTGTATTTGTTCACTTTCTTCGGTTTTTAGAAACTTCAATTGCTCATTTGAATTGCTCGAGTTATAAGGCTATTTCCGCTTGTAGCTCTGCCTTTTTGGGGTGTTTTTCGTAAAAATGTAAAATTCGGAAATTTCTTTTGGAATCCTAAAATGTGTCTGAAGGATACTTTGTTGCCGTTTTCTTCAAAAAGGAAAATCTGCAGAAAACTGAGCTTATTATCGATTCTTTCTTCGGAAATTTTATGGGAAAATTTAATGGAGACGAGATTTTAATTCAATATAAAGATTAAACCTTGCCATTATACGTGAAAAACAATATCATTTAAATGTCCTCCACTGGACCTCCTACGGGCCTCAATCCTTTTGAGGTAATTTTGAATGACTTTTCTGCACATTACCGGTAATATCTCGGATATTGACTTTCAGTTGCTTAAGAGTTTGAGGATTGTTGGCGTAAACACGATCTTTCGCATAGCCCCACAAAAAGAAATGCAAAGGCCTTTCTGCGATCACCTGAGGATTTTAAGAGCCCCATATGTTCTGTTTATTCACGTAACCATCGAGGAAAAAATGAGCTTTATCGCTGAAGAAAATTCGGTTCAAAAAATCTTTCATCAACGGTTTGTTGTTCAATCGCCCAATTTGCGTATGTTCTGCGTTGCCCATGGTCTTGAGGCTTAAGTTCTTGAGTCAGTTGGACTCTGTACGGATGGAGCTTCAAATCCAATTGCAAAATTCGCCACAATGAGCCGTAAGACAAGCCCAAATGTTGAGCAGGTCGAGGAATCGACGAATTCGAGTCTTCCTCCTCACTTTGAGCAACAACAGCACTTTTTCAGCTGAACGAATGTTGCGATGATATTTTATTGTATTTTACCCACCTCATCAGCTCCAGTTTCTTCAGAAATTTCTCCAAAAATGTAAAATTCTTCTCAGAATCTGTAAAAGCGTCTGAAAATTAAAAAATCTTTTCTGGTTTTGGTTTTTCACAAATAAAAATCGTTGAAAAACTAATTTTGTTTTTTGGTTATCAACTTTGATATTTTCCAAGTAAATTAGCTCATGCCCAAGTTATTATATTATAAGCACTTTCTCGCATCTTAAAACGACATTAAAAAGATACAAACTTTTTTTTGTTCATTTGTTCTCAGTTAAAAAATTCGTTCCGGGCCAAATACTATTTTAGGCTTTTGAGCTTTGAAACCGCGCTATTGAGTCCGAAGGATTTCAGCCAATCGAGTTCCAACTGAACCCGAAAATAAAGACACACTGAAAATTTTTGTAGCAATTTTTTCCAGCATTTTTGTGAAATTTTCATGTGATCAACTTACCAAAGTTGTAATTGATGCTGAAGTTTCTCCTGCATGAGTGAGTAGTTGAAACCGAATGCAAAAAATATGAAAACCTTAATACTGAAATTCGACTAAATCTTAAGAAACTTGAGCTGGAAAGCGGAAAATTTTGAAGATGCCCGCCTTTTCAACTCCCTCTGACCCAGTCTGTTTAATTGTCAGGCAAATGTTGCAACACATTCGCACCATACCGGAAATAATCCTCTTGGGCAACACCAGTCCCAACTTGAAGCGTCTCTCCGTATTCTCCTTCCTGGTCAGACACCCGCGAGGAACTTTTTTGCATCACAACTTCGTCTGCGCTGTTCTGAACGATGTCTTTGGCATACAAGCCCGAGCAGGATGCCCCTGCTCTGGGGCGTACGCCCAAGAGCTGTTAGGCATTGACGAAATCCTCGCCGATCAGTACGAAAATATCATTCTGGAGGACAGGTGAGTCCAAGATCGAGCTGCAAAGCTTCCCAACAATCCCTAAACTTGGGGACCTTTCCAGGCGTCTTTCCAGCTTGAACTTGGGCGTCGATAATTCCACTTTGGAGCTACTCCGGCCAGGTTTCACCCGCATAAGTCTTCCGTATTTTGTGAACGATGCCGAACTAGCTTTTGTGATGGAGGCTGTGAAAATGGTGGCCACTGAAGGTTGGAAACTGCTACCCCAATATATCGTGGACTTGGAAACGGCGGAATGGAGACATCACACAAACGCCGTGCAAAGAGACCGGAAGTGGTTGTCTTCGATCCGCTACGTTGAGGGCAAAATGACGATGATTGAGAGGCGAATCTCTGGGCCGGGATTGTTCCCTCAAAGCCACTCGGAATGTTTGCAAACTGCCAGAAATCTGTTCAATCGGGCTAGAAAGACGGCCATTCGGCTTCCGTATCATGATCAAGGAATCAGCTTTGATGGAAGAGGAGAAAAGTTGAGGTAACTAAACCTATGAATGGTTTAATTTTCTTTTGGCCTTTACAAACCAAATTTAGAGCTACTTTCCATTGAATTTCAGATGGTTTATGTTGCAAAACGAAGCTCAAGCCCTTCTAACTAGCAACGCGCAAACGGTAAAACAGAAAGTACCTTTCGATCCCGGTTTTTACATGACTGCCAGAAAGACTGAAAAACATACTGAAGAAATTCCCCACACCTCTACAAGCATTCCTCAATCCCATAATTTACCCAACAGCGGAGGAGGATCGCCCAGACATTACAGGTGAATGGCCGGAAGACGCTGGAAGAATGATACAGCATAACAAGCTCTTTACTTACAGCTTGCCATCGTTAGACGACCCCAAAGTCCTCACTTGTTCCTCGCCAGTGCCATATTTCTTGCAAGACGTGAACGGGCTGTACTATCCGCAGATTTCTCAGCAAACAGTCAACTTTGCTGTCGGCGAATCGGTTAACTCGACCAATTTGCATCTGCAACAGCAAAACTTCGCTAGGGATCGGTTAGTGGAAGTTTTTCAATTTTTTGGGCGCAATTCGCTAAAGGAATGGTTTCAGGTGCTTCAGCCTTGGTCACCCCAACGTTTCGCCTCCGGTGTTGAGCCCTCAGACTCGCGTCAGCCTCGGGATTAGCGCCTTTAGGCAACGCCAGCTGAGCTGTAGCAGTCAAACCGATTTCCATTCGTCTGATTCCGACGCGAATCTTTCCCCTACTCATAGTCTGAATATGTTGTCGACCAGCTCCTTTGATTGTTGCCAAGTAAGCTGGCAAATTCCCCAAAAACATTCGCTAAATTAACTGGTTTTTTCGGTTGCAGA